TATATATGGAAAATAAAATAAAAGGGGTAATGTGGCTGGCGAGATAGCTCAGCGCACTAAAGCGCCTGCTTAGGCAAGCTTAGGCAAGTGCAGGAACTGTGGTTCAACCCCAGGCACCACATGCCATGCCCGCCTCGCCCTGAGGGGCTGAGCCAGCTGTAATCCCAGTGCTGAAGAGGCTGAAACCTGGAGGATCACTATGAGTCCACGCTGCGTAATGACACCCTGTAACAACCAACTAAATAAAGCAATGAAATCTAGAAAAAAAGAATAAGGGCTGGTGAGATGGCTCAGTGGTCTAAAGCACCTACTAAGAATAAACTAAGCTAAGCAAAACACAGGGACCGCGGTTCAATCCCCCAGCACCAGCACCACATGCCAGCCAGCCCCGCCCCCTGGTGGGCTGAGCTGGCCACACACACACAAAATAAATAAATAAACATTAAAAAAAAAGAATAAAATCCTGATGTGATGGCATATGCCTATAATCCCAGCACGTGGGAAGCTGAGGCAGGGGGACCGTGGTGAGTTCATGGTCAGCCTGGGCTACAGAGTAGAACCCTGTCTCAAAATTTTAAAAAACAGAGGGCCTGCCCATTAGCTCAGTTGTTTAAGTGCCTGCTTAAAAACACAGTGAGGCTCAGGTTGCACTGGTTCGAACCCAGATACTCCAGCCAAACCAGAAATGCCCTGAGTGGCATGTTCAGGCCTCATCTGCCCCCCCTCCAAAAAAAATTAAAACAAAAAGAATAGACAAAAATGAAAGATACTAGTAAGGACTTGAAAATGAAAAAAAAAAATCCAAAACAATGACACAGAAAGCATAACCATTCTTAAACAAGGGGGTGGCAGGTGGGCAGGCACCTGGCTAGCATCAGATATTGTTCTGTGTTCCCAGTACGTTACTGAGCAGCACAAGGACCTGTGCCTGGATTGTGAGAACAGTAGTAAACACTTCCATCCAGAGCTGGGAATGCTGGTGTGTGCAATGGAGGGGCCCAGCCTCCAATAAAACCCAGGGCACTGAACATTGCCTGGGCATCCTGGCAGACATGTGTGGTCAAAGCTCATGGCTTCCTGGCATGCGCAAGGGCCTAAATTCAATCCCTGGTTCCACCAAAAAAAAAAAAGCTCATGGGTTAAGGACTAAGTACACCCTGGAGTCTGAGGAGCTTAAGCCTGGTCCTGCAGGCTCTTATGCCTTTGCCTTGCTGATTTTGCTGTACTCCTTCGCTGTCATAAAGTTGAGTCTTCCCAGCAAATCACTAACCCTGGGAAAGACTTGTTGCCACAGTTACAATGATGGTAAGAACTGTAGTAACTTGGCAGGTAACTAGTACCCACAATCAATTCTTCCCTTTCCATGGTAATAAAATTTTAGAACACATAGCTAGAGAGAACATTTTCACTCCCCTGAATCCTGTATGGCTGGGTGTGGCCGGGTATCTCAATACTGGCTGACAGAATGGGAAAACGAGTGCAAACACAGACTGTGTTCCTCTCCTGTGAACTGGCCCGCAACTGTGTAGGTGGCCCACCTTCACCACGTAATAACCGAGCTGAGTGACCATCAAGCAACCCAGGCCCCAGGATGGCACCATAGAGCAAGGCCACCTACTCAAGCCACTCACCTCATTGTGACTAGCAGACAAGAGAGAGAAATTTCCTCTTTGTAAGCCACATACTCTGGGGCCTTGGTCAGGGCGGCTTAGCATGCCATTTACTACTGTGTGCTCACTGTGTGCACAGACTCCTCACAGGAACGTGCAAGTCTAATCACTGCCAGAGGAGCAAACCCTGGCTCTCACAGAAGGTGGCGACCTGCCCAAGCACAGCTAACTACACAACTACTGGACCCAAGACCCTGTGGATGTGGGCAACACAGCCAGCCAGCCTCTGCCAGCTGACCCCACAAGCCAGATGCAGAGAGCAATGACAGCAAACTCGCTGCTCCCTACAGACCTGGGGAGACAGCAGAGACAACAGGGACCCCAGAACAGAGCCCCAACACAGTACACCAGACAAGACAGTGCCAGCAAGAGGAGAGATGGGGTGAGAGGACAAGCCCAATAGCATGTCCTCGTGCCAGAGAGCGAGAAAGAGGCACACAGGAAGGGAAAACAGACACACTACACCAGTCAGGAGGGGAAGGTAGAAGGCTGCACAGTGCCCAGATGGAGGCCAGGAAACATCCCGCTTGAGTGTAGGAAAGAAAGGACCGAGGAAGCCGGACCTTCCATCTGAGCAGCACGCCCACTTTGCTCCTACCTTGGATTTGCGGTCGGAGGCCGTGCTGTCACTGGCTCCTGAGAGACGAGGGGACCCTCGGCCCCGGCCCCTTCGGCCCCGGCCCCCAGCTCCTCCTCCAGCTCCTCCTCGAGGCTGCTCCCCAGGTCTGTCCTCCCAGCTTCGAGATGCCCGGCCCACACCTGCCCGGCCCCCCTGCTGTGGGGCAGTCCGACCCCCTCTGCTGGCCCCTGGGGGTCGAGGTGTCCCGGAAGACCTCCTGGAAGGTCCTAGGCTCTTTTCCTGAATCAGGAACAGGGAGAAAGACAGACACTAGGCAGGAAGCCTGGGATATCCAGGCCCCTAGAAGGCAGCAGTGAGACGGACTGAGGCCACCGCAGGTCCAGGGTGGCTAGGGAGACCGGAAGGTTCCTAGGTCCCAGGTCTCAACCCGTTCCCTTCCTTCCCTCTCAGGAGTCCTCCACCCCAGTGATGAACTCAGCACCTCGACCACCATGTTCTCCTTCTCCACCATGCGGCCCTTCCGGGGCGCTGTCACCGCTACCCCTTCCAGTTCGGCTTTTTTACGGTCCTCCTCAATCTCCTAGGAACAAACACCAGGGTGCAGGGATGTCAAGGACCCGTGTACCAACTGGACTCCCACAGCCCACTGAATTTCTCCTCTGTCTAGCCCCAGCGCAGGCCTCTCTCCAAAGAACTACATAAGAAGCTGTTCATTTTAGCATCGATAGTAAAACCGTATCATATTGTTCCTGCTTAAAACCCTCCTTACACCCACATCTGAGGAAGAGACAAGGGCTTCCCCATGGCCCATGCCAGAGAGCACCCAGTCTCCTCGCCTCCCCAACACATGCCTCTACCTCTTCCCCTCTCACCCAACCTTCCTGCTAGTCTCAGAACACACCAAGCTGAGATCTGCCTCAGGGTCTCTGTACCAACTATTCCCTCTGCAAGGAACTGTCCAGAGTCTTTTCACCCTCAACTCCTCAGGTCTCTCTGGTCCCTGACTCCCTAGAGAAACCAACTTTCCCATCTTCCTCTGTTCTCATCTCAAATTCACTAGAGAACAAGAATATCCACCTGCATGTTCACTGATGTAAAACCCAAACCCTAGAACACTACGTGGCACACAAGAAAACTTGAAAAAAAAAAAAAAAAAAAAAAATGAACATATGAAGAATGAACAAATAAAACCCACTCCTCCTCCCAGGTCCCTCCCTGAGGACGTGGGCTCGGGCTCGGGCCCTGGCCCCTGCTCCCTCCTCTCATGGCCCACTGCCCTGTCACCCAGATCTTCTCAGCAGCCCAGCCCTGAGCCAGGCCATCCTCCTGGCTCCTTGCCCCACTTCCTTTTTGGTCTCTGGACTGCAGTACAGTAGTCCCTCACTATTTCACGGTTCGACTTTCACAGACTCCCTGTTTTGCAAACTTTCAAAAAAAATTAATCTAAATTATTTATCGCGATTTTTTGCTATATTGCGGGATTCTGCAGTACCATACAGTATATGTATATTATTAACATTATGTAGGTTTACGAGTTTAAAAAATGGTTAAGTACATTAAAAGTGTTTTCTTTTTTTTGGCCAGCTCAGCCCACCTGGGTGTGTCAGGGAACAAACAGTGGTCCCGGGCGCCTGCCTAAGCTTGCGTAAGCAGGTGCTTTAGATGGTTGAGTTACCTCACCGGGTATAGAAATGTTTTCTGAAAGTGTGGGAAAGGTTTATAAGAGTGTGGGAAGGGTTGTTTTTGTTTTTTTTTTTTGTTTGTTTGTTTGTTTGTTTTTTTGCGGGGGAAGAGCCTATAAAGCCTTAAGACATAAGATAGACAGGAACTGGGGAGATAGCTCAGTAGAATAAACGCTTACCTGGCAAGTGCAAGAGCCTGAGTTCAATCCCCAGTTCCACAAAATAAAAAGATAGATAGGCTAAAATAAACGTAACATCGCTACTTCGCTGCTTTTCACTTATTGCGGGGGTGTCTGGAACATAACCATGATAAGTTAAGGACCACTGTATATTGCCTCCTCAAGCCCTCCAGTACACAAGGGCTGAAGAAGTCTCCTTAAAAAGCCATCTGGCCTGGTCCCACTCCTCACAGCCTCCATGGTTCCCCAGTTCCCTTAGGAAAGACTCCAAACTCAGCCCAGTGGCATTCAGGGCCCTGCCCAGCCTGTTCCCCGATGACCTCTAAATCAAAGGGCTTTTGTCCCAAACTTAGGCTCCAAGCCCTCTCTTGCATGCAGATATTTTCTCCAAACTGTTCCCCCTGCCTGAGGCACAGCCCCTCTCCTTTTCAAATGGACACTGTCTGCTCACCCCTCAGGCCTCTTGAGTCCCCTCGTCCAGAAACTCCTCGCTAATATCCCTGAGCTAGGTCCACAGACCCCGAGGTTCCCCCACACTATCCCTGTCCATGTTGGGCTGTGGAACTGAGGACAAGGTTCTCTCCCCAACTAGACCAGGAGCCTGGAAAGCCAGGCCTACAGCTATCTCAGTCAGGACTGTGTCCCATGTACCACTCAACACAGGGTTTGGTATAGTAAAAAGCTCAATCTGTGATAAATGGCTAAATGACGGCATGAAAGAAGGAATGTAGGCCAAGGCCTTCGACGTTTATCCTGAAAGTGATGGGGAGCCATGAAAAATTTGTAAGTAAGGGAGAAGTGAGAAAAACTCACTGCGGGGAGGAGAGGGGATGGGGTCTCCCAGGGCAGGGCTAGGGCACCTGGTAGCGCCGGATGAGGGCCTCATTCTTCCTCCGGAGAGCCTCGATCCTCTTGTCCAGCTCAGCATCCTTCTCTTCCTTTGATTTCAAATCCAGTGTGGCTGCCTGAAATGAAGAGGCAGTTGAAAGATGGAAAGAAAAGCTTTCACCCATCCCAGAGCCACCCAGCCTAGGCTCTCCAGGTCTGCCCTGTGGTCCCTGTCCTCTCAATCCCCTTCACCAACCTCAGAAACCAAGTTCCCACTTTTGGTCTCACCATTTCTCTGGCTGTGGCCAGGGTCTCAGCAACGTCTCTAACACGATCTGGATGCAAGACTGGGAGTTCCTGAAGGCAGAGGAAACAGAAGACATAAGGGCAAAAGGAATCCTAGTCTACTTCATCCCCTCAAAACAGAGGGCTCTTCAAAAAGAGGCACCAGGGCCAGGGAGATAGCTCAGCACCATAAGCCCCTGCCTGGCGAGTGCAAGGTCCAAAGTTCAACCTCTAGGACCAAAAGAAATGAGGGGGACACCAAAAACCACCTGCACTCCAGAAGAATTTTAGCCCTCACTCCCATCACTCTTCAAGTTGTTCCGGCCCACACCACTGGCCACCGATTAAGGAAATAACCAACAATCTTTTCTACCAAGCCAAGATTCTAGCCTAGCCTCCACAGCCAGTGATGAAAATTCCAGCCCAGACCCCCATCTCAAGAGAGCTACACCTGTATCTCCTCCTCCCAACTTGTACCTTCCCTGTGCCCATTCTGCTACCATCCACATCTCAGTGAGCACTTCTGCTCTACCAGGTAAGCTTCTGAAATGTCCCCTAATCCCACAAAAGCCCCAGCTCAAACGCTTAGGGAGCATAAGCCCACAGCTTCCTTGAGCACGCCCTGCACAGGCCCCAGCATCTAGAGAAAGGTAAAAGTCTTCTCAAACCACTCCCAGAACGACTGGGGAAACTTCCTACACTGGGGTTGACCTCGCTGGCAAACGACCACTGCAGCACAGACCAAAGTTCCTTGGCTAGCCCTCCGCTTTCCAAGGGAAAATTCCAGCTTCTCGAAGGCTGGATACACCGCTGCCCTGTCCCTGACAAGCAGAGGTCGCTGGAGCCCATTCCTTGGCTAGCACAGAACTTTCTGTCCCCGCCTTTCCCGAAGGACTTGAGCCTCACTTAGATGGCCCGGCTTCCAACTGCCTCTAGCCCCGCCCCCTCGCTCCGCGGGACGGCCTGAGCCCGCCCCCACAATTGCTTCTTTATCCCTGCCCCCGGCTTCCCTAAACTAGCAGTTCGGCCCCGCCCCAACTAGGGAGGCCAACCTCTGGCCACACCTCCAGGCACGCGCCTCCGCCCCGCGCATCACATCTGGCCCCGCCCCTAGCTTCCCCACCCGAGGTCCTGGCTCCACCCTTTGCTTGCCCGCCAATGGTCGGGTCGCAGCCTTGGACAGGGCAAAACTTTCTGGCTCCACCCCCACTGCATTCTCCGCCCTGGACCTGGCCCCGCCACCAGTCAACACCCCTGGATCCGCCCCGAACCTGCCAACCAACGTCGCGGACCCACTTCTAGTCAAGGCAAACTTCCTGGCCCCGCCCCCATGGAGCAAAGCCCGCGTCCAGGCCCCGCCCTACGGGTACGAGCCAGGCCCCGCCCCCAGGACACAACTTCCCGGTCCCGCCATCAGCAGCCCACAGGCACCGAAGGCCCGCCCACAGGCGGGCCCGCCCCGGACCTGCCCACACACTCACGTCCCGCCCCGCCAGCGCCTCTCCAGCTTCCCATGTGGGCGTCCTGATCCCGCCCCCCGCAGAGTACTCTGACCCCGCCCCCGCCGGCTGCTCGCCACCCCGCCCGCGCGTGTTCCCGCTCCCCTCACGTGGGGCTCCAGGCCCCGCCCTCTCCGGGCGCGCTCCCGGCCCCCTTCCCCGGTCACCTGTCCCGGAGACCCCGCGGCGTCGGCGACTCCGGCTCCGTCAGCCTCCGAGTCCGCAGCTCCCGGGCCTTGTGCGTCACTTCCCGTCCGCACCACGTGAGGAGGAGAAAAATAGGCCGTCACTTCCGGTCCGTACGGCCTGTTTTCTGGACCCTTAAAGGGGCCGCGCCCTCACCCGCAGGGGGAGAAGAGAGCTAGTTGGTCTGGTGCCGAGGATGTTAGGGAAGCATCTGCTTGGATGCTTTCCTTTTCGGGAAAAGAGTTGCTGTTCACCTTCCCTGGCCTCGCCTTCATTGCTTAGGCTATTTTGCCTGCAGTCACTCAAAAGTAGATACCACATGGCCGGTGAAATAGCTCAGCGGACTGAGCACCTGGTTCTTTCTCAGGCACCAGATGCCACCCAGGCCCCATCCCTGGGCTCGGTGAGCTGGCCACTGAGAACAGGATTGATGGCGCACGCCTGTATTCCCAGCGCTGGGGAGACTGAAACAAGAGAATCACTATGAGCCCGAGCTGCATAGTGAGATCCTGTACCAACTACATTAAACAAAAAAAGGGGGCCGGGGTGATGGCTCAGTAGAATAAGCACTTGCCTGGCAAGTGCAAGGGCCTGAGTTCAATCCCTGGTTCCACAAAAAAGAAACATCTAAAAAAGAAAAAGAGCAGGTGCCACACACTGATGCCTGGACACACCCTGGCCTGACTGATCCCCTCTGCTAGCAGACTTCAGAAGCATACAGATTGCAGCCGATCTGAGGCTTCATGCAGTCGTCCAAAGCTGCACTGTGTCAGCTCTGTACTGGGCCAATGTCGGGGGAAGTCAGAGTGGTGAGCTAGGGCAGACCCCATCCTTACCTTCGAGAAAGGAAATGAAAATCCAACCCTAGAAGGAAAGGGGAGGAGTCCAGGCAGAGGACCTGCTTGTGCAAAGGCCCTGTGGTGAGTGCCCCTGGCGCCTGAAGGTGCCAGCCAGGCAGTAACTGCAGCAGCTGTGATTTCCAGGGACTAATCAGCACCCAGACACACACGTGGCCACCAGCAGTGATAGGTGCCCTGGAACTGCGCCCAGGAGGTGCCGATGGTCCCTGAGCTGTCAGTAGTTTTATGATTTAAAACTTGGACAGTGGGAGGACCTGGTAACCCTTTGCCCTTTATATGGCCCCTGTTCCCGGCTTCTCAGAGACTACCTACGTATAAACTCCTCTTGGAATTATGCGACCCCTGACACCCACCTAGGTCACCACAGCACTTATCTATTCACATGTCGCTTCCTCACAGAGGCCCCAGGGAACCACTCCATAAACAGCACAAAACCCGCCCGAGGGTTCCCACTAGATTACCATTTGCAAGGCTTTCACTTTGAGCACCGCAAAATGCCCACCCGCATTCATACAGACAGTCAGTGAAGTGGGGTCTGATGAACCCGCGTTCTGGGAAGCTGAGGCAGGAGGATCAAAAATTAAAAAGGCCGCTGAGATAGCTCAGGGGACTAAGGACCTGCTTTGGCAAGCACAGGGACAGGGGTTCAACCCCCCATCCCACATGCCATGCTGGCCCTGGCCCCTGGATGTGTTGAGCCAGGAACTGAGTCCAGGCGCAGCGGCACACACGTGTAATCCCAGCACATGGGAGGCTGAAAGTGGGAGGATCACTACGAATCCAAGCTGCATAGTAAGACCCTGTCCCAAATACATAAATGAAAAATAAAATAATTCAAGCCTAGGGCCCAGGAGATGGCTCAACGGTCTAAGTGCCTGCCTGGCAAGCACAAGGACCCAGGTTCCACCCCCAGTACCGCATGCCATGCTTGCCCCACCTCCAGCCTGCCTATCGGGCCATCGAAACCAGGTGTGGTGGCACACGCGTGTAATCCAAGCGCTGGAGAGGCTGAGACAGGAAGATCACTGCAAGTCTGAGCTGCGTAGTGAAACCCTGTAACAAATACATACATTAAAAATAAAAAATATCAAGCCCAGCCTAGGTAATTTAACAACTTAGCAAGATCATGTCTCAGAATCAAACATAAAGGGCTGGGGATGTAGCTCATTATGAAAGTTCTGGGTTCAATCACCAGGACTGAAAAGAACTTGTTGAATGAATGACTACATGTTGTTTTTTCCTTGGAAGGGGAAGTCCATGGGGATTGAACCTCGGGTTGCTCTACCACTGAATTCTGTCCCTGGGCCTTGTTATGCTTTCCTTTTGAAATAGGGTCTTATTAAATTGCCCCCACTGACCTTAAATTTGGAATCTTCATGCCTCAGCCTCCTGAGTAGCCAAAATATTACAGATGTGTGCCAGAGCACCCAGCCACAAGCATAACTTTGTTACTACGTTCTTACCATTATATAAAACAAAGTGTATATTTAGTCTCCATTTTGTATCTGTGGGTTCCAAATCAATGGATGTAACCAACTGGGGATAGAAAATATTCAGAAAAAAATTATGCCCACATGGTGCCACGTGCTTGTTATCCCAGTTAAATGGCAGACTGAGGCAAAAAGGACCAAAAATTCAAGGCCAGCGTGGGGAATTTAGTGAGACTCGGTCTTGAAATGCAAAAGCCAGGTGTGGTGGAACCTCCCAACAGTGGAGAGGCTGAGGCAGGAGGATCACTGTGAAATTTTTTTTTCTTTTTTTTGGCAGAACCGGGGATTGAACTCAGGCCCTCGTGCTTGCCAGAGAAGCACTTATTCTACTGAGCCATCTCCCTGGCCCCTCACTGTGAATTTGAGGCCAGCCTGGGCTACATAGTGAATTCAGGCAAGCTGAACTACATAAGGAGACCCTGTCTCAAAACACACATTACACACACACACACACACACACACACAGAATTGGAGGTAAAGCTCAGTGGTCTAGCCTACTTCTTTCAGTTCCCAGGGTTTCTTTTCTCCTTTTATTTGGCAGAACTGGGGATTGAACATAGGCCCTTGCACTTGCCAGGGAAGCACTTAGTCCACTGAGCCATCTCCCCAGCTTCTTTCTTTCTTTCTTTCTTTCTTTCTTTCTTTCTTTCTTTTCTGGTACTTGGGATTGAACCGAGGGCCTTCACACTGACCTACACTCCCAGCTTTTTTTTTTTTTTTTTTAGTATTTAGTGCAGAGTTTACAGGTTCTCACCACACAGATCGGATTTGTAGTGATCCTCCTGTTTTCAGCCTCTCAAGCACTGGGAATACAGGTGTGCACCACCACACCCAGTCTCAGTCCCACTCTCGAACCTGTGACTGCCTAAGCAGGCGCTTTAGTCTGCTGAGCTATCTGGCCGGCGCTTCAGCTGATTATTATTATTATTATTATTATTATTATTATTACTACTACTACTAATTTTGAGACAGAATCTGGCTAAGTCACAAAATCACCATGGTTGAGCTCAAACTGCCTGGCTCCTGACTCAGTCTCCCAAAATGCTGGGATTACAGGTGGGCACTCCATACACAACCAATAAATAATGTTTAAAATTCTTTTAAGGGGCTGGTGAGATGGCTCAGTGGTCTAAAGCACCAACTTAGAACAAGCTAAGCTAAGCAAAGCACAGGGACTGCGGTTCAATCCCCCAGCACCACATGCCAGCCAGCCTGCCCCCTGGTGGGCTGAGCTGATCACACACACACACACACACACACACACACAAAATTTAAAAAATAATAAATAAAAGTTTTTTAAAAATAAAATAAAATAAAATTCTTTTAAAAAATGAGCCAGCCACGGTGCTGCACACTTATAATCCCAGCACTCAGGAAGCTGAGGCAGGAGGATCCCAAGTTTGAGAACTGCTTGGGCTGCAGAGCAAATTAAAGGCCAGCCTACTACATCTAGAGACTCTATGTGGAAAAAAAATTCAAAAAATAGTCATAAAAATTATTTGTGTTTAAACGTGCAAAATGGGGTTAAACTCTGTGGTGGGTACATAGCTGTTCACAGCCTAAGGGAAATCCCGGAGTTCTGATAGCTCTCTGCGATGTTTGCCACTCACCACCAGGTGGCGGCGCGGCGCCCACCGAGTTTGAGAATCTGGCGGGCATTCACTTAACAAATTGGCCCGGCAACCCTGAAAACCCACTCTCAGCTGTCCCTCCTGGTTATCCGACCTGTAAAATGAGAATTATTCTCTGGCTGCTGCCATGGTTCTTACTTTCTCCAGGATGAGTCCGATGTATGAGAGCCAGAATACTCTTGGAAGGAGGCAGGAGGATCACGGTGAGTTTGAATCCAGCCTGGGCTA